TGTGTGTGTGTGTGTGTGTAAAAAAAAAAAGCGAACACTGATGTCAACACCAAATGGCAATATACTGGAAAGCATGAAACAGACTCTCACTGTTGTTGAGGGTGGCACACAGAGCCTTGGCAACTAACAATCAGCCTGAGTGGAATACTGTTTTTGTGAATCTTAGGGAGACCGTATATGTGAGGTAGCTTGGTGTAACACTGCAACAACTGCCTATACATCTTAGGTGCGAAGTGATCCTTGTTCTTGATTAGGATCTGTGACAGTTTGCGTTCTGTTTTCATAGTAGGATCCTTTTTCACTTTGCTGTAGCTACCATTGCTAATGAGGTCTTCCAGCTTTCTTGTATAATCTGATTTGTCCATCACTACAGTTGCATTGCCTTTGTCAGCCAGCGGTATGATGATATTTACACCAGACAGTACCTCAATTTCAACTTCCACCATCCATACAGTGTAAAGAAAGGGATCGTCTGCTGCTTACAACACCAAACAAAAGTCATAAGTGGTGACCCAGAGACATTAGATAAAGAATTGGTCAGTATAATCAGTATCCTACAACATAACAACTACCCTGGGTACATGGCAGCAGCCCCAATAAACTGGGATAGGCAGGTACAAGAGGAGGACAACGACACTCAGAAAACAGTCTGCCTGTCTTATGTGAAGGGGTTATCAGAGAAAATACAAAGGATCTGCAGTCAATATAACATCAGGAAAACCTTCAAAAGCTGGACAACACTTCACAGATACTTCTCCCAAGTAAAACCCCCTCATAGACGAGAACATGACTAAAGACTGTGTGTACACCATCCCGTGCAGCTGCAGAAAGAAATATAAAGGGGAGACAGGCCGCCCCCTTATGGTAAGGCTTCAAGAACACCAAAAAGCTGTAGCACGAGGGAAAGTGGAGAAATCAGGCATGGCTGACCACATGGCGAGAAAAGGGAGATCACTGTCCTCTGTAGGATCAAGTTGAGATCATAGACAAAGAACATCATTGGAAAATATGTAAACTTAAGGAATCAGCACATATGCTAGGCCACAAAAATCTCCTGAGCCAACCAAGCATAGAAATGAATACAGTATAGGAACCACTAATAAGGAGTGTAAGGGAAAAGCAATAATAACAACAAAAATTGCAATATGAGCACTGGTAAAAATTCGGTTGCTGAAGAAGTTTATAAGTCCCAAAAATTCATACACAGATGTCCTTAACCCTAGAACACTAACCATCAATTAAAGTTACCCCACTACTAATCATGTGTATATCATGCTTGATTTTGAAAATATAAAAAAATATATTAAATATAAATCTTTATTTGAAATATTTTACATTCAGGCACTTCAAACTTTGTACTCTGAGTTAACATTAATAGGAACTGAAAAACATTATTTAGGTAAGAAAATCAGGTACTGAAAATTGTAATAAAAAATAGGAAAATTTGTGCTGGGTACTATATACCCATCGTTAGTGTTCTAGGGTTAAGGATACATGGCACAGTGGATAAAGGCGTTAGAAAAAAGTGGATAAAGATGTTGATTAGATCCAGTGACAGTGTGAGTTCAATGCTTTTTGACACAAGACATTGCTTTCAGTTGGGACACATTTCCTGTATTTTACCCACAAATTTAGAGCAAAGGTCTAGTTACTAAAATAGTCATATGATGACTGAAAATTTGATGGCTTTGCAGACATTTAAATTGATTAATTTCAAATTATTTCTTTTATGTCTATATCATGTTTATATTTTACTTTTTGGAAAGACACACTATAAGTCCCTGCAATTTTTTTTTTTTTTTTTAAGGGGCACCCTCTGCATTTAATAATTAGAAAGTTTCATATCTTCTCTGTTTTAATTAACTTTGTCTAAGCTAAACTGAAACTGTTTAAACCGTGAATTCATGGCATCCAGTTTTTCAGAAAGGGGGTGACATAAATTTAAAAATCTACCATATCTAAGATTCCGATTAGCCAGCAAGGTAGGTTATGCAAAAAGAGTTAAAATTTTAAGGAAACATTATGCAGTAAGGGGTTAATTTTGTTAGGATTCAAACATGCCTGCCTCCTTTGCTGGAAAATACCACCATCTGATCCAGTGTGTTTTAACTACTCAGCTATAAAGAGACTGATTCTGAAGCTCTTCATAACTGACTGTTTTCTCTCATGTGCAGGCCAAAAGACAAAATAAACACTGTGTAAAAAGTGGGGGGTTCTACTCAAATATGGGTATCCAGTAAAATAACTGTTGTAGAGTAGTTTTCACAGTGGAGGCTTGTATTTCGCTAAGTCAGTCCTAAACTAGGTTCGACGTACAAAACATTAGGAACTTGAAATAATAGTTAATGACACAGCAATCTAGTTGTGATGGTTGATACTTTAATGCCCGACATCAACTAACTCACCAACTCCACTCTGAGCTCCCTGGCGACTGCTACTACTACTAATTATTATATGTGGGAGAGTCTATTAATAATAGAATAGGTATGTTCCAGTATAACAATAACATCTGAAGTAATAAAAAGAAGTCAGATGAAAAAATAAATCTGATTAATTCTATACATGCACACATGCACACGTACACACACATATATATGTATATATTATTTAATTTAAAGAAAAACAGACCACTTTAAGGTTCAATTTGTTATAATTTATTTCACCAGAGAATTTTATTTTTCTCTGGACCTTCAGACTTCACTTTCAAAGGTAAAATAAAAAATGAATTCAAAATTTACACTTTTGACAGGCAGTATTAAGCTTATATAAGTTGAGATAGAAGGTGGTGAGGAATAGTGTGAGAGACATGGTCAAGTTTAGAGAGGGAAGGGAGAGTTTTAAAACTTATTTTTATTACAATACATTATATTGTGGAGCATTATAAAGTACAGGCTCTCGAGAAAGCACTTGAGCAACATGCTCCATAAGTTTTCTATGGGGTTGAGGTCAGGAGATTGGGGCGCCCATGTCATAACACTCAACTGCTTCTCATCAAAGTATTCTTTCATCAATTTTGATTTGTGACAGGGAGCATTATCCTGCATTAAAACGAGCTTAGTGGGGTCGATTTGTACCCTTTCAGCAGAAGGGAGCAGACAAGACTCTAAAATTCTCTTGTACTGCTCGTTCCTGAGGGTCTTTTCAATAGGTTTTAAGAAAACAGTTCCATGAAAAGAAAAGCATCCCCGAAACATTATACTGAACAGATGCTTGACAGTACTTACTGCTAACTTCAAAGAGCTTTCAAAGCAGCTTCTTCAGATTTTAGATTGCTTATCCTTTAAATTTAGCTCAACTTTCATTTCATCGAAGAAGAGAACATTCATTTAGTAAAAAAAAATCAGGTGAGTCACTTTTATCGAACAGCACTGTATATATATATATATATATATATATAAAGACAAAAGGAAAACTTAGCTGAAAAATTTCATCCTCTAACAGACTTTATGTTATGATTTTATTTTGCAACAAGTATTTATAATCAAAAGTAAAAATGTTAGTTTTACAAAATTTTTAAATTTAAGAGACATTGATAAATATTCATCAATAATATCAACTCTGAACACTGCCAGAGAGTACTGATCATGTTTGGAAAATAAAACATTCATGTAACTCTAGATAGATACATAAAAATACATTCAGTTTAAGAAAATAAAAATCATCCTCAATAATAACTAAAAGAAGAGCTGAAAGCATTAAGATTTGCAGAACATTTGGAAACTTTTTACACACATTATGTCCAGAAAAGAAAACATTTATACAAGCACACGAATATTTAAATAAAAGCTTAATTGCAGTTCCCTTGTCAGTGATATTTAAGGAAACTTGTATAAAAGAAGGATTGCTGCCCAATTTGTGCTTCAGGATTGGCATATGCATGAAACTCAGAGATGTACCAAACAGTGAGAACAAATATATATTATCTGTCTATATTTCTGAGATGATGTATTATGTACATTATTTACATTATTCAGACTATTGTCCTCATCTTTGTCGCCATATTTATTACAAAAAATTCGCCCTTCAGTATCTGTCTATATTTCTGAGATGAGGTATTATGTACATTATTTACATTATTCGGAGTATTGTCCTCATCTTTGTCGCCATATTTATTACAATGTTTCAGCTGTTGTATGCTCCGGCCTTCTTCAGGTGGTTGGAAAGTCGAACTGAACAAGGAGACACGGCACAGTGGATAAAGGCGTTGGTTAGATCCAGTGACAGGACCCAAAGAGTATGAGTTCAATACCTGGTTAAGGCAATGGATAACTTTCATAGGGAAATTAACAGGAGATAACTGATAACTGACATCCATTAAACATGGCACGTGGAACTAGAACAGTCTACCCCAGTGAGCGAAATAAAAGGTTCAGTTCGACATTCCAACCACCTGAAGAAGGCCGGAGCATACAACAGCCAAAACGTTGTAATAAATATGGCGACAAAGATGAGGACAATAGTCCGAATAATGTAAATAATGTACAAATATATATTGATTATATATTGTAGATTGTTCTAGTTCCACATGCCACACCTTTTCTGAATATTTCAGTTTCAGTTATTTCCCTTTAGTAACTCAACTCTCCAAGTTTTTGTTTCCATTGCTGTGACCAGGTATTGAACTCACAACCATTTTATCAACTGGGCCATGTATTGTTGGTGACACATAGCCCAGTGGATAAAAGCGCTGTTTGAAGTAATCCCATGACTTGACCCAAAGAGTTGTGAGTTCAATACCTGGCTACAATGCACAACAGCTGAAATGTTGTGAATATAACAATAAAGATGAGGACAACTGTTCAAATAATGTAGATAGTGTAAATAGTTACAATACTTCATCTCAGTCTTCCATGCATTATTTTATTAATTGGTCCAATCTATAGATCATTTTGCATCTCAAATCAAAAACAATTCATAAATATTTATTGTCATCATTCAAATCTTGAAAGAACTAAACTTTATTGGAACATCAGTCTATTTTTGTCTTTTTACAGAATTAAATGTATATCTCTTTGATATTTTGTGAAATTTTACAAGTAGCCATTTTGTCAATTTTGTACAAAATTTTGACTCTTTTATATTATTTGTTTTATTTATTTATTTATTTATTTTTTCATTTTAGGTCTGGATGCTGCAGGCAAAACAACTATACTATACCGATTAAAACTTGGTGAATTGGTAACTACCATCTCGACAATTGGTTAGTAAGACTAAAATTCAATTATTATTCAGCACATAAGCATACATTTTTTTCTCATCAGTACCAATATGTATATTTAGTAATATTTAGTTTATAGTTCTGTTATATTGCATCAATCACTATTTTATTAACACTAGCACTCAATGTGCAATATTGTATATATATATATATATATATATATATATAATATATATATTCGACTCACACTCGAATTTGACGTATGAGGGTCAAGCAGATCAGTTCCCAGGAAACCGACAGCCCAACAATAGCACATGAGATTTGATAATAGTGGTGAAAGTTTTGTGCAGAACCATCCACACTTTTTGAAGGGCCGAATACAGAGAATATCCCCACTAAAATAACCATTATAATTAATAAAAATAAGCATAAATAAACAAGTAAAAATAATCAATCCAAATAAATGAATAAATTAAAAAGTTAAAAACTTCACTTCCAGTTTCATTGTTCTGAGTATATTATTGATCAACATTAGGATATCAACAATATCTTCCCAAATTACTTGTCAATTTATAAAATATTATTATCTGAATTGTTGAAACCAGTTAAAAATTTCTTAACATAGTTTAAGTAACATTTTTGAAAGGTAGACTTAAATAAGCAGCTTGAATAATATGATCATAAACGTTGATGCAGACTGATTGCGTGAGAAATCCTGAGACTATAATCAGCAAAATCAGTAAAATATTCGAAAATTAACACAACTCCGATAAAAATATTCAGTAAAATGAAAAATAAGTGAAATTTTACTTTTTGTCATATCGCCAAGGTACAAGGGGAATAACTCATTTAAATTATTAAGAATATGTATTGAGAAAACATATATATATATATATATATATATATATATATACATACACTTTCACACTGAAATGTATGTAGGCATGCATTCTCTCTCCCTCTCTCTCTCTCTCTATTTACACACAGACAACATACACACATAAAAATGAATTATTGATTATTAAACTTTTCTATTTCCCCCAGGTTTCAATGTGGAAACAATTCAATATCGAGATATCAGTTTCACCGCTTGGGATATAGGAAGCAGAGATAAGTTTGTAAGTATGACATACCATTAATACCACATATTCTATTTGACACTACAGAAATTATTATTAAATTAACAACAGAGATAAGGCCATTAGTCCAACCAAATTTCTGTGTATGATAAAAAATTCTAACATTTTCTGTTCTTAATTTTTAACCTATATTATTACCTTTAGAATAACACCATTTCATTTATTTACACTATTTACATTGTTCAGGCTATTGTCCTCAACTTATTGTCATATTCACAACATCTCAGCTGTCGTACACTCTGGCCTTCTTCATGTGATATGCATTGGAATTTTGAACTAAACCATTTATTTAGTCCACTGTCCAAACAATATAAATAGTGTAAACAGTTACAATACCTCATCTCAGAAATATAGTCAGACCATTTGAATTGCAATTAAAATCAAGAGAAATATAATGAAAGCCCAATCAAGATAAATTATACTGCTTTAGATCCCTTTTTCCTAGGGGAAAAAAAAGATTGTCTATATTCAGTTTGTGTTACTTGATTAATCCATTTACTTGAGTATCAATGACTATTTTTATATTTTACAAGATATATCTTTCCAGAAATTTATGTGGAGATTCTAACTTCTGCAGAAGGGATGGCTTCTGTGGCCAATTAGCTACAACCCATACCATTTGTTCATAAAGGGTCTAATCATATTCTCTACAAATCATACCATTCATTCATGTGATGTAATGCTTAGCAAGCTTGTCTCACTTGATCAATTACAACTGAATAGTGAGTTCAATCCTCACTGGGTGCTCCACACAAGCGGCCTTGTGCCACATCTAATCTACACTTAGAAAATCATAAGATACCTCGTAAAGGTTAGCAGGTTTGTCTCACTAGAACCATTACAACTGAGTAATGAGTTCAATCCTCATTGGGTGCCCCTTACTTTTGGCCTTGTGCTACATCTAAGCTGTGCTCAGAAAGTCACCATACCATTTATTCATAATGGTTTTAGTTATACACTCTACAGACCATACCATTTGTTCATAAAGGGTCTAATCATATTCCATTTGCTTATATTTTGTACCTAGGTACAACAATAATATATATATATATATATATATATATATATATATATATATATATAGTAGAGAAAGATTGATTGAAATTCGAAAAGACAATAATAATAATATCTTTGAAGATCTTCAAAAAACTATTAAAATACAAGGATCATGAAGTGGAAATCTCAAAAATGTGGCACATGGGGACATCAGTAATTCCAATTGTAGTTGGAGCCCTCGGTAGGATTAGAAAAGATTCCAATAGACTCATTGAAGGGTTTCCTGGTAGCCCGTGCCTTAAAGAAATACAAAAAATTGTTTTCACAAGTACAGTTCACACATTACAAAGAGCTTTATCTATGTAAAATGTGTGTGATCTTGGGTTATTTTTGTTTCACTTTTATAAAATGATAGGTGAAAAATGTCATGAAGCCATTTCTGATCTTAGATCTCTAGTTGGGACCCGGAAGGAAATGAGTATACAACAGAGGACATCAAAGGAAATAATCTACAGGTGTAATTTTCCTACAATGCTTTGCCCTTTGACTGTTGTCTCTTTGAGTGAAAATTTAAAAATATATCTTGTACGTCTGCTAAACTCAAAAAACAGAATATCAGCCATAAACACATTGGCTGTCCCTGTAGTACAATACAGCTTTAATATCCTTAACTGGAACATAGCTGAAATTAAGTGAATGGACACCAAAACAAGAAAGCTTCTCACTTGCTACCACATGCATCATCCCAAAGCTGATGTTGATCGTCTGTATGTGCCCGGATCCAAAGGAGGCAGAGGATTAGTTCAACTAGAACTGTCCTACAAAACTACAATAATTGGCCTCCAAAGATACTTGGAAACTACAGAAAACTGGATGATGGTATGCGTCAAGGAACATGAAAGTATTAAGTGTCTTTACTCTGTAATAAAAGAAGCCAACAAATTCAAAGTGGAGTTTCAAATGGGCGTAGAAATGCAAGTACAGCACAATACACCGGCTGAAACTGCAAAGCACTTAAAAAAGACAGCAAAGACAAATGCAACCAACCAGATACAGAAGCAATGGCAAGATAAACAGCTTCATGGCCAATACCAAACAAGCTGACGTAGACAAAACCCGTACCCATCAGTGGCTACGTAGTGCAGGGTTGAAAGCTGAAACTGAATTTTTTATCCTTGCTGCACAGGACCAATGCTTGCTAACTAGGAATTATCAAGCATATATACTAAAATATCCTAAAATATTGTGTTAGCCCAAAATGCAGATTCTGTGATAAATATCCAGAAACGATTGATCATCTTGTATCAGGTTGCATGATATTGGCACCCACTGAATATAAAACTTAGGAAAATCTGCAACTTCTACGGGAAGGAAACTAAAAGAAACTGGTATGAACACCACCCAAACTCGGTTATGGAGCTAGGACCTTTTACAATTCTATGGGACTACACAATACACACTGACAGAACAATCAAAGCCAACCGCCCAGATATTGTTATTAAAGACCACAAACAAAAACAGTGTCTCCTTATTGATATGGCAGTCCCTGCTAACTGCAATGTATCTTTGAAGATATTCAATGTATCTTTGAAGATATTCAAAAAGCTGTCAAAATACAAGGACCTTGAAATAGAAATCTCAAAAAAAAGAATGTGGCATATGGGAACATCAACAATCCCTGTTGTAGTTGGAGCCCTAGGACTGGTTGGAAAAAGATTCAGTAGACTAATTGAAGGGATTCCTGGAAGTCCATGCCTCAAAGAGATACAAAAAATTGTTCTGACAAGTAAAACCCCCACTTTACGAAGGGCTTTATCTATGTAATTTTTTTTTTTTTTTTTTTTTTTTTTTGTCAGTGGTAAGTGTCATGATGCCATTTCTAACCTTAGGTCCCTGGGCAGGACCCGGACAGAAATGTGTAAATGCCAGAAATCTAAGAAAATAAAAATAATAATAATAATAATAAAATAAAAATAAAAAATTACCAATAATAATTTTTGAGCTCTGGGCCTCATGAGAAAAGGAATGGACAATTTTACTAACAGTGTCCCAGGTAGCATCAACATACAAGTTGCCCAGAAGATCGCCCCTACTAGAAACATCCCATATACTAAGAAAAGTGCTATCAATTAAATGACAATTCTCCTATAAGAACTAAGGACCATAATTTGAACCCAGCTCTACAGGGTACAAAGCAGGAAATAACATTCATAAATAATAATAATTATAATAATAGTATTTATTGTATATTATTTCTTATCATTGTTATTAGTAGTAGTAGCAGAAACATGAAAAAAATGTTAAAAATCTACAATTATTATTATTGTTGTTGTTATTTTATCTTTTCCAACTTCTCTCAATTGCCTACTATATATATATATATATATATATATATATATATATATATAATTTTACATAACAGAGAAATCAAAATTTCCTCATTAGTATAAACTATTTCAGCTAACACAGATATGTCAGCCTTATTCAACTCACGACTGTCTGAATTGAATAAAGCTGACCCATTCAGTATTAGTTGAAATAGCCTATATTCATGAGGTAACTTTTAGTTTCTCTGTTATGTAAAATAATATATATATATATATATATATATATATATATATATATATATATATGTATAATTTCTTTTTTCTTTATCTGTCTATATTTCTGATTTCTTTTAGACAGATTTTCCCCAAAATAAATATTGTTTCCTGAAATTATAAAACAAATGCAATAAAATAGTTATATTTCATGGAATCTTTCTTATTCAAAATTAATATTTTGCCATTAAATTTCTTCTTTTTTTTTCCAGAGGCCACTTTTCCGACATTATTACAAAGGTACAGATGCTGTAGTCTTTGTCATTGACAGTGCTGACCGTGAACGACTTGATGAACTGAGCTATGACGTCATTCGGCCAGCCTTTGTGGCTGAAGAATTGGTCAATGCTGTGTTTTTGTTTTTAGCCAATAAACAGGATTTGCCTGAAGCAATGACAGTTGACGAAATCACCGACAAACTCTCACTAAAGAACTTGAAACACAATTGGAGTAAGTTTAAATGAAATCTATTTTTCATATCTTTCAAAAATATACAAATACTACTAATAATAATAATAATAATAATAATAGTAATGATAGCATTAGTAACCAAGTATACTGCAAGTCATTTCGTCTAACTCACTTTTAATACAATTAGTATTTAATCAAAATGTTTTACACACATTTAATTTGTTTTTGTGTTTCTACCAGACAATGATGCCAAAGGCATAGTCGCTATATAATAGTCAGAAATAATTTGTTAAGTTTATACTGAGTAATCTAACATCAGCAGTCTAACATCTGCCCAAACAATTAATGAGAAATTATGATGATTCAGATTTATATTATAAAGGTTCAGACTCTCTAATCTGAATGACAAACTGAAAATGCAATAACCCTACGAAATGACCTCATCAGTTCAGGGGGAGATAACTCATTTCAGTAAAAATACTATATAAACAATATTTTGTACAAGATAGATACGTGTGACATTGCTTTTGGAATTTCAAAATAAGTTGAAATCTGTTCCCAATAATTGAGTTACATTAAAGCAAAATAAAAACAACTTTTAAAATAAATATCATGGATAATTCTATCAAATTTTGTATGATGATGTATAATTTAACTAAGAATTTTTTTAATTCTACATCCATATAACAATGAATCAGATTTTTTTAAGATCACATTATGCAAGGCTCAAGAACTACCCTTAGTAAAGGGTTCCTGCAGAGATGTGTGATATGAACATAGAAGTGGGGTGCAGATGGAAGTGAACATTTTGGGAAAAAAAACGAATAGCAGTTGACCTTTGATCTGAAAAGTTAAGATTGTGGTGTACAGGAAAACATCCATGCAGACGTTTTTCACAAAGTAGCTCTTGGGGGAAAAAAGCTGAATGGAACTTCTTCTTTACAAATAGAATATAGATGAAATGGAGATGATTTGACACTGTGAACATTCAACATCTCTTCTTTCCACCTGTATAGCACCCTTTGCCTTTGTCATTCTCTTTTTATTCACATTTTTTTTTATCACTCTTCATTAAAAAAATATATATATATCTTATATGATTTTATTTTAGTGGCAAAGGTTTGTGCAGAACCAACAACACTTTTTAGAAGAACCGAATACAGAGAATTGGTGCCACAAGGTCTCCAAACAACTCTCCTTGTGTTCTGAATTTCATGTTGTCCCTCTCCTAGATTTTGTAAAGATCTCAGTCTATGGTCAAATCTCTCTGAAAACACCTGTTCTCATTTGATCACCAAAGTTAAGCAATGTCAAGCCCAGTCAGTACTTAGATGGAGGAGAACTTGGGAACATTAGGTAATGTAAACAATCTCCAACAGTCCAAAATATGTTTCAGCTTTATATAATCCACAAAGGGTTGATAAGCCATAAAAAACAAATTAATCAATCATTGTAAATATTTCAATATACTTGTTCATAGTTGTTCAGTTTGGTCTGTTTTATGGCTTATCAACACCTCAATGGATTATTTGATGCCGACAAGATTTTTAGGATAGTTTCATATGAATAGAATATGTATTTTTTGTAAGAAATCAGTTTGTAGATCAGGTTTTATTGACGTATTTTTGTAAAGAGAGTTTATGTCAAATGTATTGCTCGTAATTTATTTTTTTTAAAAATGTATTGCTAGTGTTTTTACTATAAAAATCTATTTTTGCATTTTCATAGTGTTTTGACTACAGTTTGGGGGTTTACTATTTGCCCATAGCTGGGACCCTAACAGGTGCTACCACCCAGAATCAGGATGTATCTGGGCACAACAGCAATTAAGAGATGGTTCCATACTCCTCAAAACCTCCCCAATCAGAGGCTTTGCCACCAGATATAGTTCATTGTCATATACAGGACGATAGTTGTTCAGTTTAATTTTTTTATAGACTTTATTTTCTGCTAGTAACATTCTCATAAAAGCTACAAATAAAAATAGCAAAGATATTGAAATATTTACAAAATCCTATAATAAATGATTTAAAACAATGTGTTTATCGCATAGAATATCACCACACTCTAGTTCCCTTATAAGGTCGACTGAATATATATATATAATTAATATCCCAATGCAACTAATAGTCTCTGGGATTGGTTGCACTACTTATACACTGATTTTTTTTCTAATCATTTCACTCCAAGCAAGGCAATAAAGCCACTAAGTCTCAAGGGGGTTATTGTGAGTGAAAGAATCTAAGAAAAATAATTATTGGGAGAGAACAATAAAGGAATATGATTCAAGGAGACAGAAAATGACTGCTGACATTGTAATTAAATTTTTGAAGATCAACGTAGACTGAAAAGCAAAAACCCAGAAAAGAGTTCCACAAGCGAGAAGTTCAACTGAAGAAAGAAACAAAACAAAATTTTGAGAAAATAACCAAATAAGGTCAGTAGTCCTCATCAATTAATTGTGAACACACAGAAAGAATCTATGTAAGCTACACTTGAGGATGAATCAGTAAGTCTGTAACTACACAAGAGGGTGAATCAGTAAGTCTGTAACTACACGAGAGGGTGAATCAGTAAGTCTGTAACTACACGAGAGGGCAAATCAGTAAGTCTGTAACTACACAAGAGGGTGAATCAGTAAGTCTGTAACTACACAAGAGGGTGAATCAGTAAGTCTGTAACTACACAAAAGGGTGAATCAGTAAGTATGTAGCTACGTATGAGCATGAATCAGTGAGTATGTAGCTACACAAGAACATACAGTTACATCTATTCTATTACAATTTCAACTGTAAAATGATGAGACCTAGCTGCCAATCTAGTACTGCATTTAAATTCATAAAGTCAAGGTACCAAAGTGAAAAGCTCATCAGAACAATTACCATGAAAATATTTATAGAAAAGGGACGGGGGAAGCTACATTATGGTGGTGGGAAAGTAACTGAAGCCAAGATACCAGGTCAGTACCAATAACATTGCAGATTCTTCTTTGGAATTTGTTCAAGAATTTCTAGATATATAGACACCCCAGACCAGATCTGAATGCAATATTCAATGTATCAACAAATGGTGGGCTTATAAAGATGTAAGATAGATTCCAGTAAGAAAAATTGTCTAGAAACAACACAGTGAACCAACTTTCCTGATAGTAGATCTAGCAATTGATTCGATATAATTGTTCCACTTCACATTTCAAAGAGAGTGTAGTTTCATTTTGGAAGTGTTAAAATTAACAAGCCATTTCTTGCCCCAGTTAACATATATACATAATAATAAATAAATATATAACTGTAATGAAAAAACAAACGAGGTAGGAGCTTTACTTGAAGCTTTTTTCAAATATAACTCAACACTGACAACAAACAGGGTGGAGCTTATTATTTTATTACTGGTTCAGGGGGAGACAACTATGGTTAAGTTCCACCACATAATAAAGAGTTTTTAATTATGCTTTCTTTTGTTCATTGCAGATATAATGCCTGTAAGTGCACTGACTGGACAGGGACTGACTGAAGCTCTGGATTGGTTAGCATGTCAGCTGGGTTCAGTACAAGCCAAAAAAGCCGTCTACTCCACAGTGCCCCCAGCTTTGGATGAAATCCCCCGACCTCTGCGAGAATCTGGGGACAGGCTTGATCATGGCATGGACTACTGTACAAGAGCTTACACTGCCATCAAGTGCCTCTTCTTCAGAACAAACCGACCACAAGATAACCCAGAGAACCGGACAAATCGAATTCAGGACTCTGTTCAGGATACACGAATGAGTGGCAGATTTCAAAGCTCACCAGAGAAATAGTTCCGCCCTTTATAACTGCCTATATTGCCTGATTCTTGATATTTACAAGGGCTGGGGGTAAACACTGTAGGCCAAGCAGGTGAAAGAGGAAGTAAGTATTTGGTAGGGAATTAAACCTGAATTTTTTTTTGAAATACAGATCCATTGACAAACTGTGTTATCTGTTCCAAATCCTTGGATCGAAAGAAACTCAATATTTATGCTTCTGGACCAAAATATTGGTGAAACATAAAATGAAAAACTAATAAACTTTTAACAACCTTAACGACAAATCATTGGTCAGGAAATAAGCAAAAATCATTGGTCAGGAAATAAGCAAAAATTAAACAAATAGATAAAATAACTTTGTAGCGGGGGACCATTTCTCTTTGATTTTTTTAAATGTTTAAGCTTTCTGTGTAAATTTGAGGACAGCTTTTTACAGAAAAAAAAGAGTGAGTGATGGTTCATTCATTGATAGTTTGAAACAGTTGAGTAGTTAAAAAATGTTCCCCAGTTACTTTGTTTAATGTGAGACTAAATATTTTCTTTGGTGTTCAAATCAGGACTCTGTCCAGGCCAAAAACATGTGCCTGATGAATTTGTTCTCAAGTTGCTTTTTTGGTCATCTTTACTGTGTTGGCAGAACCATTGTCTTGTTAAAAATAACATCTATCATTCTTCTTTAGAAAACAACATCTCAATTATGGGAAGCCAGTCTTTCTGCAATATTCTCTTGTATTCGGTTTGACCATTTTCCTCCTCAAAATTGCAGGGAGAGGCTGAATATTTCCAATAATTACTTGTCTTCTTAAAGAGTTTGAAGTTTTAACTTCATTTGCATCTGACTGATATTTTTATTTTTTTTTATGAACAAAATTTTGATAGAATAATCAAATAAGGTCAATAGTCATCATCAATTAATTGTGAACACACAGAAAGAATCTAGGTAAGCTACACTTGAGGATGAATCAGTAAGTCTGTAACTACACAAGAGGGCGAATCAGTAAGTCTGTAACTACACAAAAGGGTGAATCAGTAAGTCTGTAACTACTCAGGAGGGTGAATCAGTAAGTCTGTAACTACACAAGAAGGTGAATCAGTAAGTTTGTAACTATACAAGAGGGTGAATCAGTAAGTCTGTAACTACACGAGAGGGTGAATCAGTAAGTTTGTAACTACACAGGAGGGTGAATCAGTAAGTCTGTAACTACACAGGAGGGTAAATCATTAAGAATCTACAGATTCCTATGAGGGTGAATCAGTATGTGGCTACCTATAAGAATGAATAAATAAGCCTGTAGCTACATATAAAGGTGAATTAATAAGTTTACCTTCAAAGATGAATCAATGTCTGTAGCTGGGCACAGAGATATTAGATAAATTTTGATCAGAATGTTCCACTGTATAACGTTCAATCTATTTGATTTATATTCATGACTAAATTAAGTGCATTGACAAGGAAGGATATTATGCTGTAAGATAAATGCCTTTTCATCATTAGGCTACATACTTACTGATGAATCTATATGTTCATCATGCCATGGCTTTGTCTTACACAAATAAAGATTTGAAATGAGACTCAATATTTGACAGAAAATTTATTTCATAAAAGGTAACAACTCATGACTGCCAGTAAGACTAAGTTTAGAGAATTGTTTCCCCTCCTATGCTCTAAACGAACGTAAAAACCCAATGGTGATGGCGGTTGCCAAGAAGATTTGGTGGTGCCAAGAATGCTGTTTTACTCAGCAATTGATTCCAAAAGTGACGAGGATTCTTTTTAGAAAATCATCATCATCAAATTTCATTACACTGTGGAACAGAGAGCCATAACCTCATCATGTTAGTTTTTGCTGTTCTAGTTTCCATAACAAGTAGGTTTTTATAGGGTGGAGTTGTCAGTCCCATACCACAAAAAATTGGAATTCAAAAGAGTCCTTCTAGACTAGTTGGCCTGCTATTTAACCCATGATATGCCATGTGCACATTCTTTTTAAGTAACCACTGTACCTTTTTCATGGTTTCCCTTTGTTGAATGGGACAGAGATGTGTTCACCATAATGTAGTGTATTTATTGTAATATAAATGTCAGTGAAGAAGGCTGAAGAATTTGTTGAAATGCTGCAGTAACAAAAAAGAAAAAAATCAACATAACAAACAAAATCAGTAACCTGGATAATATTTAGTGAAGTTGTTCTTAACCTTTTTTGAGTCACAGACCCCTTGAATCACGGACCCCTTGAATCATGGACCCCTTGAATCATGGACCCCTTGAATCATGGACCCCTTGAGTCACGGACCCCTTGAATCATGGACCCCTTGAGTCATGGACCCCTTGAGTCATGGACCCCTTGAGTCATGGATCTCTTGAGTCATGGACCCCTTGAGTCACAGACCCCTTGCATCACAGACCCCTTTTCAGTCAGTAATGCTTGAAAAAAATTGTGGTCAATTAATCCTCACCCATATACAAGATAATCAAACCATGATAAACCATGGAAAATGAGAATTATCACTTGCTCTTATAGAGTGGCAAAAGATAGCAGTCATGCAGAGAATGAAGACATACATTTAACTGTTAAACATGGACCCAAAAGCAAGTCAAGAGATGCCTAGCAGTCAACATTGTAAGTAGTAGCTGGGTGTGTTTTCTTTCAAGCAATGGCAGGATGCATTTTCTTTTGCTTCTTTCAATTGATTGGGACAAGGGCTGTATAGTGAATATGAATGTTAATTTTTGCCTCATCCTCACAGATCCCATAAAAACCCAAGTTAAGTATCCCTGATTTAGAATGATAGTGACTTTGTTTGAGGTTTTATCACAATGATAATTTTACTAGTTCAAAGTTACTAGTATTTAACCAAGTGTTAAGACATAGCATTCCATGTGTGTTTAAATAGCTTGAAACAAGCACCAAAAAGATTAATTATAAATGCAAAGGGAAGCAACTCAGTCCGGTGATTGCCCCAAATAAGTCCTGTTACACCAGTCAGTTTGTCAGACATAGTATAAAATGGTATCAAATGTATGATATCATTTGTCATATAATAAATTTGATATCAGTTTGTATCCTTCTTTTATTTGCCAATGATTGTCTTAGTTTTATCATAGGATACAGAAAATTACAAATCCAGATCCATGATCTTCACACTACTTGGAATAATCTCACCCTGATTGACCAGGTCTTCAGGAGTGTAGCCATACTCACTAGGCTTAGCCAGTTGTGGGTTGGTGAAACTATTTAACCCATAGATGGAGGTTTTGAATTCAGAGCATTCCTTTTAGACCTGTTACCACTCAAGTCTATAGGACCCAGTCTGTCCAGAAAATATGACTTACTTTACAGTTGATTGATGTTACTTTATTCAAACCTCTCGTATATTATGATCAGAAGGAGATGTCAAACAATAGACAATGTTTTTTCTTTAGTAAAACAAATAAGCCAACACTGAACGTACAGAAAGGCAAAGAAGAAAGAGTTGTGCAAAAATTCAAGGGAATACAGAAGTTAATAAAATTCTTCCAATTCAAGTTTTCCAAAAATTTATGAACTTGACAAGATTAATATAAAGAAAAAGTAAAACATGAAATCTGAGATTAAGTCCTTGAAGGTCAATATTCAACACTTTATATATGAGGCCTATGGTTTAATTAAAACCATTTGCGATACTGAGATCCGAAGATGTATTAAGATGGCCAAAGATGCATTCCAAAAGCTAAGCAGAGGATTAAGAAACAGGAAAATTTCATTAAAAACAATAATAATATAATATATAACAGTGAGTGCTGGACAATCTCCTCAAAGATGATGAAGAGACTTAAAGCAAAAGAAATGTGGTTGTACAGAAGGATGCTAAGCATATCATGGGTTGAACATGCAAGCAACAAGGTTTTGGAGAGAATGGAAACAAAAAGGAAACTTATACTTAACATCAGGAAGAGGCAGTTGAAATTTATGGGATATGTAATGAGGAAGGAGTGCTTGGAAAATCTGATACTCACAGGACAGATAGAAAATAATGTCTCTAATCCTCTTTTCATCTCCAGCCAACTTTAACAAAAATGATTTCTAAACTTCACAAAATTCCATCGCCCATATTTAACATGCAACATCCCAAGTAAAAATGTCTTATGTGAGACTCAAGTTGTAGAAACCAAAGAATAATATTTTCAAAGTAGGAAATCACTTCAATAAAACAACTCATCTATCCTGCTCTGAATTGGTTTTCTAAACTACATCTATTGTCGGACAAAATACAGACTCATTATTTTTCTTTATTTTTATTACTTAAATCAGTTTCTCAACCAAATTGATATTTGCTTTTAATAACCTTTGCTCTCAATGCCGTAAAAGTTTCAGATAACACTAATTTGAAACATGATTCACATTAATGAATTTTTAAAAAGTTAATTAATCTGATTCTGTATTAAGTACAGAATAAAAAATGACTCAACCCAACTAATAGGCTTATTCCAAAGAGACGCTTGTTGAAGCCATATAAAATAGAATCAATGTTTGGATATCGAAGCTTCTAATTACTAATTTCTAATTAGTTTTTCTTTTACTTATATTCTTTCACACTCAAATCATTTGTGTCTTCATGGCTTTATTGCTTTACTTTTGTGGGTGGGGAACTTCTGTAAATATTCAAAAACCATTCTACCAGAAATAAGCCAAAATCTGATTTATTCCTGTCAGGATTTATTCCTCTCGGAGTCAGTTCAGTATTTGTAAAATTTGACCCCCCCCCCGCCAATATCATTTGTTTGTAAGGCTAAATGGTTGAGCAAAGGACTAAAATTTGTAAGGTTTCTTCCCAAGAAGAAACCTTACAAATTTGAGAACAGCTACCATGATGATTTAAAAAAAGTGCCACAATAACTGTCATCATGTTGAAGGTTCTTAGCCTGGTAATAAAAGACAGAGAGCCATCCACTTGGCTGTCAAAACAACTCGGTCAAAATAGTGTGTCTGGAATATACTTATCACTTGACAAAGTGATAACAATGACCAAAT